GAAATCCAGCCGATTTTGCTCGAAAAGGTCTTCCAAAATTTCGTCAAACGAATATACACCTGTCAACGGAGCCACGGTGGCCATTTGACAGATATTTTGTGTTATGTTTAATGTCAACATTTTCTCTTGAAAATTCAATAAAATATTTGCATAATTTTTCTTAATTATCGTGTTTTTTTGTTATTAAAAATTCAAGTTCTTGTTGGGACACCCTTTAATTTGATTCAAGTTACTTTGAACACTTTAGAAACTGATTTTATTTTAAACACAATGTAAAACTTAGTTTAAAATGATATTAATATTCGAAAACTTGTAACTCTTTTGTTTGAAAACGTTAGGAGAAATACACTCAAGGTCACGATAATGAATAAATGATTAGTCATGGTGAAAGAATACAGGTGAAGCGGTAAGCGGTACGAAATTTGGTCATTCTTGCGCATGACGTCACCCTCGGAGCATATTTTTGTTTTGCCTATGTCTCCAATGTTAAAAAGCGACTTTTAAAGTTATTCTAATATTTTCCTGGTAGTGTTTAGAAGTTTATAGATATATTTATCTTAATATTTAATATCATTTCTATATATCAATAGGCCTGTTTAGAAATTATTGGTACGTATTATTAAATTAATTTCTAATTAAGTTCATAGTGTAATTGATATAAAGTTAGGTTACGTAACATTTTTCTTGTGTTTTAAAGATAAAAGAAATAGTTTATATTCATTATTGTTATTTTAATATATTATTATTATTATATTATTGATACATTAAAATCTACTATATTTTAGGGTGTGTAGTTACTAACAAAATGCCAGGTTGTGCAGTGTTTGGCAGCAAGAACTATTCAAGAAAAACAAAGAGAACAAATATTAAGTATTTTGGATTTCCGAAAACAGATATAGCCAAAGCCTGGGTCAACGGTTGCGGGTGAAAAGATACAATTAATTTGAAAAATGGTATGATTTTTGCAAACCTAACTTGAATATGATTAATTTTATGTCTTGTTTCTTTTTTAAGCTTGTATTTGTTCCATATATTTTTCGAAGGATAGTTTTGAAATACCCTTACAACAGAGGGTATTAAACTACTCCACTAAGATTGGTAGAAACTTAAAACAAACGGCAGTTCCTACTGAAAATCTCCCATTGAAAAAAAGACAATTGTCTGCAGAAAGTGAAGATAGATTAAGAAGGCAGGCAAAAAGATATCGACAAACATTTATTGAGAGCTTTGTTAATATTTCGGGGCATTCCAGACAATTGTCAACTGCAGACCAGGACAAGGAGAATCAAAGTTTGGAAACAGACACTCAAAATATATTGGTATCATCAGAACTAGAAACGTATGTACAAATTTACCTTATTAACAAAAAATGTGGCTTTGAAAAGAAAATTACACAACTTAGCATATACTAATTAACATTACAATCATTTCAAAACAATTTTTTTATTAAATATTAAACGTTGAAGTGATAATTGCTTTTATTTCAATATTAAAAATTAAATTATTATTTTAGAGAAAACTATTAAAAGTCTTCGTGAAGAACTAAACAAAATTACTGAAAAATGCAACAAATCAAATATAGAAATACTTTCATTGAAAGAAGAAATTAGCCAGTTGAAAAATAATTCTCAAGTGGAAATTCAGAAAAGTAAAGTAAATGTTTCACTCCGGGTCAAATAAATGTTTTATACAATGAAAATAAAAAAAGAATTCGTTGAAGTTCGGATGACATAGCATCCACAATCTCCCTAAGAAGCATTCGTCCTAAGGCTTATAGATTTTAAGAACTGTTCATTATCCTTTACCTGGGTTTACTACCTTAAGAGACTGGCCTAAATGTTTAAATTTGGAACAAGAAATATACAAGATAAAGAAGTAAACATTATGTATAAACCATTTTTAAACATAAATAAATCAATTTAAAATAACACCTCTGTGCTTTTTATTAAAATAAAGTATGTTTTGCCAAGTGTTTCTATTTATTAAATACATAAAGGGGTTTACCAGCACCCAACCATACAAGAAAGTAATTGATCTGTGCATACAAGTTATTGATATCCATGTTTGATGACTAATTTAAAATTAAATTATTACATTTATAATCTATAAAAGTGACTACATACTTTCAAACTGATTATTTAAGAAAATTGGCGACTAAAAAAATATACTGATCATAATAAAATTCATTTCACCTTAATTTTATTGTTCAGCATTCGTTAACATTATACACAAGTTTATTTGAATCGATTCAAAATTATTTATTGTTGAAGAATTAATTACATTCTTATTAACAAAGATAGATAACATAAGTTAAAATTCAAAGGAAAAGAAACAAACAAAATACTTATTCATAAATGAAATTTTTTATTTTAAAATTTTTTAAATTCTAATATCAAGACAAAATATAATATAAAAACAAAAATGCACAACCTAAGTACAAATATGACAATCGAGAAATATATATACAGGAGTATACACATAAATTAAAATGAACTACTTAATTCAAGGAATCAGAAAAATTTATCCACTTTGTAGTATACCTTTTTGAGCAAGAGTTTCTTGCTTTTTAAACATATTTAATGAGTCAGCACTTCCTATTATTAATTAATTGGCAAGAGGTTAAACATTTTTCCACTATACAGGGGACACTACATATTTCAGTTTCACATTTAAATTAGTTATTTGTGTATGCATTTTATTAGTTCCAATTTTTATCCCTGCTGAGCCACTAAAACTTTTTAATGGTAATGTCTCTGTAAGTTTAGGTACGTTTTGGCTATCATCTTGATCTCAATCTATCAGATAGTAATGCTAGGTATGAAGATTTAAATCCTAGATGTAAAATCCTCTTCCAAGTTTTGTGATGGAAAAATTCAGTTTCAGATGAACACTATCTTTTTTACGCCAAAGAGAAACTATATTAGGCTAAATTCCTTACACCATGGCGAAATTCGAAATAAATTACCTACTTTTTTGTATAAAAGCACAAAATATTTTTTTTATTTGGCATTACTTTTGCACAAGCGTCTATCTGCCTATAGTGACTTTTCTTGTATTATTGAGCATAACTTGATGTTATTTGACGCAGTTGTTATTTTCTTCTAAATATATTTTCAGTTTTATAATGATTATAGAACTAGGAAATAAAAATTAAACTTCTTGACAATCATTACAAAATGTAAACAAAGCCATGGAATGGCATGGCAGTGTATAGGCGGCCGTGGCAATACCGATGTTGACGTCATAAAACCTGCGCACCGCTTCACCTGTATCCTTACACCATGTGATTAGTTACATTTTGTAAACATGTGGTGGCGTATCGCTTATTTTCTGATCCCTATTTTGATTTTTGCCAAATAAAATGGTCGGTTAATTATTCTATGGGGTTGCGACAGAGCCAGTAACTTTGATGAAGGTTTCACTGTGGCTAGGGGTGAAATAGTAGTAAGCTTAAGTTAGCAACACCATAAAAAAGTCATTATTAAGAAATTGCTTACATATTTTTCATAAATTGGCAGGCTTGGCGACTACTATTTCGAATAAAAATAGCCTCCAAAATGGCTATGGTTGCAACAACTATGAAGGTCGCAACCCGCCTTAGAAATCTCACCTTTGCAATCAACAGTTGTTGTTTGACAGGTCGTTGGAGAATGTTTGCAATGTATGGAATATGAAAGGTTTGTTCCAACACAATAGCAAATTGGTTTACGTACTGTCGGGATTCTGCGCAGTCTAGATATGATGTTCCAACAAACCTCGGACTCAAAACTGTACAAAAACTAATTGCTCGGAGACAAAAACCTAGTGTTCCAACATACTCAAACCTAATCACAAACCAGTTTCTGTACTGTCAAATCAGTTCCTGGGTCTGAATAGGAACGAATTGTCAAGACATGCGCAAAACGAAAGTTAGCTCGTAAATAAATCACGACCAACTCTGGAAATGTCGTGATTATATTCGTTTTGATAGCATCATCGATCGTAGTCTCGATAGTAATTCAGTTTTTATTCATTATCATTATTTATAGTATATTATTTTATGAGTAATGAGTGTGAAAAGTGAAAAGAACTATTATTCTGACTTAGATAGAGTAAAAAATAAAATAAGTTAATGTACTAACCAATCGAATAATCAAAATTTATTAATCTTTTAATGAGTTTTAATTTTTTTTTTATCAAATTCAAAATTAAATATCTGTTAATGTTTTTTCTACTTTTACGTTATTGATGGTGTGTCTGACAACAGAAACATGTGTTCCAACACAACCAAGTTCCGAATTCAGTCTCAATCATCGACAGGTCGTGGACTGGTCGTCGACTATCAGTCGTCGACAATAAGTTGTGGACTGGTTTGTGTATGGTTCCAAGATTATTGTTGGAACAAACCTTAAGAATGTTAGGAGTGTTAGACGTTAGAAATGATTGATATTCGTAAAATTAGTCACATAAGAAATGCATAGGCGGATTTTAAGAAAATTAATATTAAAGTAGTTAGGATGAACCGAAAATTCTGAAATTCATTGGGGTTCTAAGTTAGAAGTAATTATTCAAGAAAATCAAAACCGCAAGTCAATCAGAACTTTCGTTCTCGAGTTACCATGCCGGCATACATACGCACAGACGACCAGACGAAACATTTTTTACATTTTCTGATTCAGAATGATCGAAAACTTGAAAAAAAGTTAAAAAAAAATGGGGGTAAGAAATTTTTTTTTTGTAGTAATTGTCGGTTTTCCGGAATTTCAATAATTATTTTTGAATTTTACTAAACACGCCCATTCTCTAATAAATTTCCAGGTTTTTCTGACAAAATTAATTTTTATTGGGCTGCATCAGACCCATCAGGCAACAAGTTGTAGCGGAAACGTCGAAATTCCGCCGCAGCAGATCGATATATTAGCCGCTATTGTTCGCCTTTAACTCTTCCTGGGCCAAAATGCGATATTCCAGAGAATTAGTGTATGATTCAATAACGATGCAATTTAGCTATAAATACATACCTGTAAAACACAAAACGCCTCGCCGAACACATACGGATACTTCGACCAAATTGAATACACTTCAGGAGGCAATCCAGACACCAACAACAGCAAATCACTAACAGCCAAACTGAATAGATAATAATTAGTAGCCGTATGCATACACTTATTTCTAGCGATCACAATGCAAGTGCTGATGTTTCCCAGGATACCGCTTAAAAAAATTACGACGTAAATAATGGTGATGGGTATCACTATATACAGAGGATCGCGCGTGGGTCCCCAGTCTGATGTCTGGTTCAAGACGAGATCCGGAGTGGTTGTTAGGCTTTCAGTGACGTTTTCTTGGTGATGGATGTTCGTGTAGAAGGAGCTTTGCATTGTTCAGGTTGTGTTCGTGTGGAGCGGTAAGCGCATCTTGAATGAATCTGTAAGCAAAAAAAAAACATTAATGGAATATTCTGATCTTACTCGCGTTTAATATTTGGAATAAGAACACAAGAGTATTTATCACGACGCTGGTCTCTTCGAGAAAATTATTGAAAGCAAACAGATCTTATCCACTGAGTAGGGGAGACCGAGTGCAATTGTATTGTTTTGACTTTCAAGTCTCTTTACTACTGCTACAATTTTTTATACCATGACTGTTACATATATTTTAGGTCAGCAAAATTTTAACAGAATGTCAGTCAGTAATCTGGCAATGGCATTTTTTGGTAATTTTTATTTAGGATTAAGGGAAAAAATAAAATTAACCATTTAAAAATATGATGCAGAATGGTACAATTATCCCCATCATCGGGTCAGTTTTACCATTCCCAGGGTCAATTATACCATGAGGTAAAAACAATAATATAAATATATATTTTTGATAAAAATATTTAACTTTATTAACTTTCCTTATTTTAGGACATGTAATTTAAATTTTTTTGATACCTTTGGCCCTTTTTTTCTCTTTGCTCTGGCTTCGGTTTCCTCTCTGATGTTCTCTTTTTCCGGGGTGTCTGTATATATAGTAGATTTAGCCTTTTTTCGACCTTTATTATTCTTTATTTGTCGAGGTGGCGCTTTTGGAAAAGGTCGCACCAGCTCTAGAGAGAACTGGGTATGGGATTAATATCTTTGCTAGTATCTAAAAGTGATAGTTTAGAAACAGTATCTTGTCTACTAGATGATTGAGGATTTGTATTTTTGGAAGTTGATGGTTGAAGAGTTAAAGTAGGTGGTTGAGGAGTTGAAGAGGATAATTAAGGAGCTGCAGTGAATGGTTGAGGGGATGTGTGTTTACTATTGGACGGTTGAGGAGATGTATGTTTCGATGGTAAAATATTGAACTTTTGATTTATGGTCTGCATATTGATGTTTACAATTTCTAAATTCTTTTCGACTGTGGTTTCGTTTAGTTCTTTATTCGGGTTTGGTTTGTCAGTAACATATGACGGTGAAAAATCTAATTAGCTAAATATGTCCCTATTGAACGGATATTCTGATACTTTGAATCCAGCTTGTATATTTGAAGGGGTCGCTGCTAAAGGCAAAGCTCTTGCTACAATTCTCGGGATATCTAAAATAGTATAAATATAAAAACAAAAAACCCAAAAAAATTAGTGGTGTCTTACAAATATCAAAGAGACCGACGTCAAGTTGATTCTCTGTATGTACTCTGTGTCTTATCTGTTTTAAAAACTCACTTTTTCTATGACTGTGAGACTAAATTCAACGTGAAATTTTAGAAAATGTCCAGGAATTACGTTTTTATAGTGATAATTGTCCCGAGTAAAACAAAAATGATACCATGATACGCATTAGTTGAAACTAATAGATTTAAAAAATTGGAACAATTTTTTCCGATCAGAGGGCATTCCTTCTTGTCTAATTACCGAGACTTTGGTGTCATTAAACGACGTTTAAAGCGATCCGATCGTATATTTTTTGTTCACGAATACACTGAAATAATAATAGCTTCAAGTGCGCAGAAAAATTTAACTGTCATGGAAATTTCAGTGAGAAGAAATCATAGATTTCAAGCAATGGTGGCCCAAATTTTACAAAAAAAATGTCTCTGGAAACTTCAAACAAAAAAATCACCAGGGCACAAAAGCAACCCTTTTCTGTATCGCAATTTTGCCATTTTCGTTGAAACTCAGAGACTCCTGGATATGACATGTGCTCAGAATTTATTGGAAGTCTGACGAACCATACTTTTAAGATCCATATGCCAAGAAATGTCGAAAGAGTTCCGGTTAGAATGCCTGAAAAAAAAAACCCATCAAGAAAAAGTTCCAATATGTCATACGTTCCAAAGGAATATCACCCATTCTATCAAGAAATTTTGGAATGGCCTACAAAAGGTTCAAAAAAGAAAGCGATTGCATTACAAGCTTAATACAAATTATGTTACAGTTTTCATTAAATCTTTAATGTTTAAACATTATTATTGTTTTTATTAGGATAATTCATAGAAAAACAACTCACTGTTTAATATTTCAGTGATAATGCCAAGTTAATTCCTTAAAAAAATAATATTTTCCATTTATTTGAGAAAGATATTAACTGCATTCTTTTGTAATTTAACTTTTAAAAGAAAACATCTAAGCAACTCTATCTTAAACTAATTATGTCACAAAAATAGCATTATCACATTTTATTAAACTACAAATAAGTTTTTACTCATTTTCTCAAAAGTAACAAAATGTTAGTTAATACCTTTCTGATATACTATTTTTGTAGTTCTCTATAGATCGACAAATTAATAAATTTTTTATACTGTTTAAAATATTTACTCTTACTGCGTTTAGATACAATCTGTATAAACCTCGAAAAATTGGAAATGGATAGGTAGGTCAGTTCCATTAAAATGTCTAGGTAAACTAATAATTACAAACCTGGTGTATAACTTATTTTAATTTAACTTGAAAATTGATTCTGAACACAGTCGTTTCATTAAACTTTTATTAATTAATAAGCTAGCGTTTAACTCAATATTTCTTGATTGTATTTTGTGTATTTTTCGGCTTTATTACTTAATGGAGAGTGGTATAATTGCTTTGTTGGCGGAAAAATCTTAACTGGTTCAAAACTACTAATAGGTCAAACATAAATCAATTCACATTAATTACGAACGTTTTTAAACTTTGTTGGAACATTTCTTAAATTGAAATAATAATAATGAATATCACTTGGCAACTTTTTCTGAGGTCCGGAACACGTTAATAATGAAGAATGTTCAAAAATTTTGGAATTTTTTTATGAATATTATAGTTAAAAATAAAGCTTCTTTGAAAATTTGTTTTCTCTCCATTTGCCAGTTATTAATTTTTTAAAATTTATGACCTAGGAACTGGCAATACAAGGTTGCCGGTTAGACGCATACGAGAAGTAATATATATGTTCGTTTGTGTCCACCTTCTTACTTTTAGACTTCTAAATTATCGTTAAACAAATATCTCTTAAATATATAATATCAAATGTTTTTAAAAGTATTATGTTTAAATTTTCATCATATTTATAGTTTCATTGTTTTAAAAAACGTCACCTAATGAACAAGAAAATGGCAATGCGCCAGCACTGTATGTGTCATCTGTCAAAAACTCAATCATGAATTTATATTTGGAATTTAAAATTGTCTGTGTTTAATTTTGTACGTTTTTATAAATATTATGAATACGAAAAAGTATTTTTATCCTACACCAACAAAAAACGCATCTTTTCTCGGCTAGCCCGGCAAAATAACTAGAAATGGCTAGCCAGTAAAATAATCACATTAATTTGCCGCCAGATGGTGCACCACTTAATTTTGACAGTTCCTTTTACACTTTATTATAAAATTATTTTTGTTGCATTGTTTATAAAAAATTAAAACTTATTTATTCTGCCACAGGTTGTGTTTAGTGATATTTATTTATAATTGATGTAGAGACAAGTTGAAGTCATTTTTGCAAAATAAATTATCACTTGCCGCAATACACATTACATTTTTAGAAATTTAACACACAGAGGACTTGATTTTTATAAAAATGTCCCGTTATTTTCCGCAAATCTGCCAACGTTAGTTATATAAGGCCCTTGTTTTTGCCTCAGGGCCCGTCGTGGCTATGGCTCTTGGCGGCCACTTATTAACTGAGTATTGTTAAAAATACAGAATCATACATTGGTTTACAATGGGACGGCAACAACGAATGTTAGGTTAGGTGATGTCAAGTGTCACTAAGATGTGCGTTCACTTCGACATTCTATGTGTTGGTTTGTTCGTTGGCTTGGTTCTGTATAACAAACAAAACTTCGACGCACGCTGATTGGTCTATTCCCGATAACGTACACATTTCAAATTTCAAATTATAAATGGTTTTACTTTAAAAACTTAGAATAACTTGTATAGTGACCAACTATTACTATATAATTTATAAATCATCATAATATATCACGTGAATATGGCCCATTAACAAAATTTAAAATTTATTATAAAATTGCAAGTTTTATCCTTAAGTGGGCATTATTACTCCTCTTTTCCCTACGTTAAACTTCTTTTAAATAATTGTGAGAGAATTTTTCTTTCCGACAAAAATAATTATCAATCTCTTCCACTACATCAAACTGGTTGGCTTTATCCTTGGTCGCGGCTTAGACGTGCCTACTCAGTTTCAAATAATTCCGCGTGGGTTGGTTAAATTGTGCGGAAATCTCCCAGCGAATTCACTTCAGAACCCTCAAATTTGCACTTAAATAGATAAATATTTGCTTATCTACGAACTGCAACGATGTTCTATCATTCTAATAAGAGAGAAAAAAATTCCGAAAAAGGTAAAAGAAAACGAAATTGGTGTCAAGACATTTCTTTAACAAAGTATAAATCATAAAATTTGCAGACAACAAATTTTTAAAAGCCTATTAGAGCAGATAGTTGGGCTTTTACGGCAATTTTACGATACCTCGCTGTAAGTCGCACGTCCTTAAATGGATTTAGAACGAATTTGATAGCCCCAGAGTGCTTCCTTCTTTCTTTACACATACAAGGTCAAACCACAAGTTTTATGTATACCAAGAGCGCTCTAAAAGTAACTGGAAAAATAAAAAAGTCTGTTCTAGTTACGGAGTTAAAGTGAGCATGATAGAGACAAACCTATGCGTATTCCATACATAGAAATAGTATAGAAAGCCGATTCCATATATCAAAAATGAAACCATAAGGAGAAAATAGTGTGTCGGAGCTCATGCGTATAACGGTGCTGGCGCGAACAGGACCGGTGCAAGTTTTTTATTGATCGAACAAATAGTTCGCCGATATTTCAATCATACATTTTTAGAGATGATTCTATACAAAAAACGATTAAAAAAATTTCAAGTTAAGGTAAATATGGTTCTGACAGTCCTTATTAAGAAAG